TACGAAAATACATATATGGATATGAGAAGTCAAAGTCATAGTGGTGGTGATACTAGTCGTCTTCAAGGGGTCAATAGAGAACCGCCAGATCGGGGTCCCAATAATTATTCCTTTCTTTATGGTGATGAAAATCCTTACAACAAGCTCTATGTATACCATGTTATTACCATCAATGGTGCGATCGATCATGATAAACTTTAGGATGATGATCAAAGTTCGTTTCTTCCAATAGACATGTACCTGCCCGAAAATTTATTTTCCAATACATGGTATCTTCAAGCACTTTTGTCGCTAAATCATACTCTCTTGTCTCTCCCAACTAATCACTGCATCAAGAAGCTAATGAAGTGTCAGACAGAGTTGCCCCATGAATTCCTTGTGAGGCAAGAAACAATAAAATCATCTATCCGTCAAGCATTACATCAATTGGTAGGACACATGACACTACAATGACAACGAGGACAATATTGCAGATCAGTCAAAGCTAGCAGATTTATCGTGAATTATTGGCTATGTTCCAGAAATCTTGGCGACCATGATCTCCATCGACATATAAGAAAAGCACTGTTATATCCTATTTCTCACCGAAACCAAGTAAAAAGAAGTTACCAATGGAAATCTGGCAGCAAGCTTGAGGTCGCCGACTTTCACGGTGGTGTACAAAGAAAAAATATTATAATGTGGCTTAGCTTCACCGATGAATTACATAATTGCTACATTCAAGCTTCCTACCTTGCATGCGAGCTCGTCTACGGGTATAATGTTGATTTTTCTGCTATGACGTTTGCCTCTTATGGACATACAATTCGAGAAATCTATCATGATGCATATCTTTCTCAAAAGACATACCTAGTATTCGATGTTCCTGAGCTGAAATTTCTGGCCTCTAGGATAATCTGTTTCACTCGTCAAGAACATGTTCAAGCTACCATCGATATCCCACAGTGTGTGGTTCAGAAAAGAGTTCCCCTTTTTTTTTTCAGTATGGAAGGGCTCAAGCGAAGTGGCACGAGCCACCAGATTGTGATCACCAAGCTAATCCGATTTGGATCTACGCAGAAGATCTTTATGTAAAAATCTACAAAGATCCTTTGTTTGACAGTTATCTTGCTGACATTTCTTGCTATGATGCATATGAAGACAACGCCCAAGGGTTTATTAAAGTTCCAACACATCAAAAAGATGAAAGCTTCAAGGTGTGTGCTTCAAAGAGAACGTTTACATCTCAGGCTTTTGGATGAACTGACACAATCAAAATTTCATCTACTTGCCTTACACGTTATAATCGTACATGGCATCATTTCAATGTTGACATCATGGAGGGGGCTGACGATGTAATTTTTGCTCTGGACAGAAATTTTGGTGACATATCTGTGGCATGGTATGATGCAAACATGGAAAACAATGGCCTGAGAAGCATTCGTACTGTCACTTGTGCTAATAGGACAATAAGAGCGCGTTCACCTACATTACCGCTGTCGCCACTGCCGTTGATCAATATTCCTATGTATCACCAGATTGAGAACACGAGTTTAAGAGCTGTGTCACTGTTTTGTTCTTGGTCTAACTCATACTAGGATTTTCACCGTGTGAGTGAAGAGTTAGAGCTATTTTCCTTACGTATTTCTCCACTGCCATCTCTCGTTTCGGTTTCTGTTGTAGCATGGGAAATGGCAAAAGCCGATGATGTCCGTCTACATTTACGATACATGTGTCATACAAATTGGTTTCTTCCGGAGGTGCAATCAAGTCCTCTTATTCCTTGGCCGAATATGCATTTCGTAGTGGATTTCTTCGCTGAGATACTCATTTTTGGAGTTTTGACCGCCGTAGCAACTTCACACTACCACCAAGATCCAGGCTTCCTCCATCATGTGATTATTTTGCTAAATCAAGAAGAATGCAAGCTTTGCGTTTGTTCGCGATTGATTTTAGGTGACATGATCTCTCTTGCTGTTTTTTTAATGGACTTGATCGGGTGGAAGCGTTGGAGAGTACAGAAATGCCGTTATTTCATCGTGTTTTCTCGTTGTGTGGCACCTTCTTTTCGCTCTTGCATGGTCCTAGTCTTTGTGGATATTGAGGCATCTCAGTTTGTGTGGCAACTAGAAGTTATTCAATGTAGAGTTTCATTGGGAGAAGTTAGAGTTGTGTGTAGCTCATGATGGGGTTTCAATAACACATTCACCACATATATTTGCGGACAAGACATTGCTTGCGAGTCAAGAAATTTGTGGTCTTACTCTCCTTCCTTCTTTCCTTATGATTTTCCATGCCTGTGGGAAGCAGTCGCAAGTGGTACCAAGTCTTTTCACGAACACTATTTTTGGCTCATTTATCTCTTTTTGCGTGGGTAAGAGAAAAAATGCCAGCTTTGTCTCACATCACTCACCATGCACAGATTGACGTATTAGTTTTGGTGTGCCAGATTTATGTGCAGCTTTGTCCACTGGTGCAACCAGCTTGTCGTTCTATTCAATTACTGTTGCAGGCTGCGGGGAATTTTAAGATTAATGTCCTTGTTTGTGGAACTATACCGGATGTGCACCATCTACAGTACCACCAATTCTTTGATCTTTTAGTTTGTGAGGATCAATTTTTGGACAAAGCAATATATACAATTGCAGCTTCGTGGGGAGTTTTTCATGCGTGGTGTAATACCTTTTGTGGAGGTTTTAATGAGGCTTTGAAAAGTGCAGGAGCAGCTTACGATTCTATGGTCAATATGGATTTCCAACATTTATGTCTCTTCTCCTCTAATGGTTATGTAGGCACCGTTGATCTCCTGTTTTACCACTCAAGTATTGTGCAACATGCAACATCATTGAAAGCTTATACAGAATGACAAGGAGTTGTGTGCATCGTGCAGTTGAAATTTTCTTTCAAAGTCACCGTGCGTCTTCTTAGATTGGAGAAGGTTGTGTTCAGCTTAACGGTGGTGGGACGTTATAATGCATTCTCGTATTTCAAGATGGTATGTTTCTGCATTTCCTTGTTGCTAATTCTCCTATTCGACAATCATGACGAGCTGGATTCGTGGGCGAATCATTTTCTACTCGAAGAGACCTGATGCAGCGCATCTTCATATCTTATAAGTATTTATTTGGGCTTTTGTTTTGGGTTTTGTGTTTCATATGCCGTTAGGTCTTTTCGTCTTTCTCTTTCGTTTTAGGGTTTTCTTGTTCTAAGTTAAATAGAGTTGTCATCGAATCTTTGTTCTTCAGTCTTTGTTTTGATAAATTAATAAAAACAAAAAAGAGGAAATTCAAGTTTCCCAAAGAGCTTTCTTGTGCAAAGTCCTGAGAGGAGGACTCTCAAACCCTAACCGTAATCAAAATCTCTTCAATAACGTCTAAACCCCAAGTTCGTTTGCGAGTTCTCTTAAAGTTCTCGTGACCTAACTTGTTATTTTAGCTTCTGCTCTCTATCAAAATCGAAGAAATTTCTGATCGAAATACATAAATTCAATGTTCGTCTTGAATTATTATTATTTGTAAGACATTTTATAAAATACTTCACAATATTGTGAATTGAAAGCTGAATAAACTCAAGATGTTGAATTTATTAGAAGAGAGTTATAATTCCAAAATGGCAAAGAATGACTAGATAGCAGAATAGCTTAATAATAAACTAGCGGAATTAATAAAATAAGTAGACTGAAAGCTGAATAAATTCAAAACTTTTAAAAATTAGTATCTATTAGATGAATATACTTTTTTTAAAGTAGTTATAAATTTAAAACATGCATGATAAATTGAAAAATAGTATATTGATTTTCATTTTTTATCATTTAATATTTAATATTATAAATAATATACATTTAGTGAAATCACATTTTCAAAACGTGAAAACGTAAAATAGCTAAATACTATTCAATCTAATATTTAGAATGCACTATCAACCACTGAACTACACCATTTGATCATCTTTTTTTTTTTACGGGATTTTTGACACCAAGTTCTAGGGGTGGGCACAAAAACCATAACCGAAAAAACCAAACCATACCGAACCAAAAAAAATGATATGGTTTGGTTATGGTTAAACCTAAAAATCCATTTGGTCATCATTTTTTTATAGTTTTGGTTTAGGTTTGGTTTGGTTAAAAACCGTCAAACCAAAAAGTTTTTTCGGTTTTTAAACTAAATTTTAAATAATTTATATTTTCTTAATTTTTTAATCTAATTTAGGTGCATATTTTATTATTGAGCTTAGTTATCTTTATAATTTACTAACTTAACTCATAAATTTAAAATATAATATTTATAAAAAATATCTACATATAAATAATAAAGTAAGCTTTAATTTCTCAATAAAAAAATATGACTCCTTTTTCTTCACATTCAAATCTTCTAGTTCTAGTTTCAAGATTATAGGTATTAAATTTTAATCTAGATTGGTTTATTATTTTATAATTATTGATTATGAAAAATTTGATAATTTGTTTGTTTCTCTGTTTTGAAATATGTCTTTATTGATGAATTTTTAATGATTTAGATTCTATTTTTTGAATTTATTGTTTTATTTCACTCATATTTATTATTATTATTTCCATTAGTTTGAATCAAAAAATTTCGTAATAGTATAATTCCAAAAAAAACGAAACCAAACCATATCAAACCGTAAAAAACCAAACCATACTAAACCGAAATATATATAACTTTTATATAGTTTGAATTTTCGTAAAACCGATAAACCGTAAAACCGAAGAAACCGAACCGAAACCAAACCAAAAACCGAAGTGTCCACCCCTACCAAGTTCAATAAAACCAACACATAAGCCTTCTAGAGAAGACACACACAACTAAAAGGAACGAAGTGTTTGGTTTTGAATTGAATTGTATAAAATCTGTTTAAGATATTTTATTAGATTATAAATTACATGTCATCTAGATTTAAACAAATCTCGACACTCATTGAAGAAAACCCTCAAGCCTCAGTGCTTCACCCTCGCCAGATTGAGTTTAAATTTAGTTCTGTGCTTTTCTATCTACTTTTAAGTTTTAAATATGTGCAGATGCTTCAAGCAAGACCGGCTTCACATTCGGCAAGCAGAAGGACTCGAACCGTGGCTCAGTCAGATCCACTGACTCCTCTTCATGTCCACTCCTACTCCCACTTCTTGACCATCCTACTTTGCTTTCCTTCTTCTTCTCATTACTCTGCAAGAACAAATCTCACCGATATTAAGATGCTTGATTGTTTCAAACGCGTGTGTTTGCGTTAAGAAATCCATTTTAACTTTCTCTCCGGTTTAAACTAGTTTGAAACATTACTTGAAAAAGATGACTAATGGGGAAGTTTCTACGTCTGGTTGTGTCTGGTGTGATGGTTGAAAGAATCTGAACAACTTCTCTCATTGTTGGTCTAGCTTCTGGTTCCAAAAGCAAACACTCTTTAGCAAGATACGCCATTATCTGCATCTCTTCTTCAGCAAACTTCCCCTTTAGCCTCGGATCTGGCAGTTCTTGAATCACCCGCTTACTATCTTGTAAACGCGGCATAGCCTAACACACATCAACCAAACAAAAAAAGAAATTTCAGAGACTGAAAAGAACTTTCTTGGTCAAAAGATTCGTCAACTTTGTGCTTTTACTTACCCAAATAACAAGACTTTCTTCTCCTTTGTTGTTGCTTGGTTTCTGTATCGGTTTCCTTCCGGTTATAAGCTCAAGCAAAACAACACCGAAGCTGAAAACATCTGACATAGGTGAAGCACATCCTGCAATAGCGTATTCAGGTGCAAAGTAGCCAAATGTTCCTTGTAGTCCCATTGTTGGAGAGCTTGAACCGCTTTGAAAACCATCGCTACTCAAACACTTGGCCATCCCAAGATCTGTTATCTGTTTCACAATTTTTATGCAACATTCAAGTTCAGATTTGAGCTCAATGAAGCTAACATTTGTGTTGTTTTACTTACTTTTGCATGCCAATTCTCATCAAGGAGAATGTTTGTGGATTTAACATCTCTGTGTAAGATTCTTGGAGCTGCAGCTTCGTGAAGATACTCAAGCCCTCTTGCAGCTCCGAGAGCTACAGAAATTCTGATGTTCCATGTCATTTTCTCTCCCAGCTCTCCATCTAAGCAGTCTCTCAGATTTCCATAAGACATATACTCGAAAACCAGAAGCCTCTCTGCGTGTTTGCCATGAAAAACAGAACAATATCCAATCAATGGAACCACATGGTAATGATGGAGTCTTGATAATAACTCAACCTGTGAAAAAAAAACTCAAAATGAACACACAATTTCATAATCTTGATCAACGAAGCAGCAGAAGAAGGAGGTTTAGTACTTCTGTTGAGAACAGAGTGTCTGTGTCGTTTCCTTTAGGGGTATTAAGACGTTTGATCGCAGCTATTTTGCCGTCTTTGAGCTGTCCACGGTAAACGCAGCTACTTCCTCCATGTCCTATCACACTGTTGCTTGAGAATTTGTTCGTTGCTTGCTCTAATTCAGCGTATGAGAACTGAAAAATCATTCCGTGGATTGTCTCCGGTTTGCTCACACAAAACAAAGAAGCATTGTGAAAGAAACATCCTAAAGAATAAGAAAGAACAAAGTTAATGATTTCCTCTTCTGTTTAATGTATCAAAGCAAAGAATCTTGAAGTGAGGAAAAATGGTGGAACCTGTCACTGAGGAGCTGATGCTGATCTTGGGTTGTGAAACAGAGCTTTTACGGGTTATTAAGTTAGAAGAGCTATGCCAGCTTGATTCTCTATCTGAAGACACTGAAGGTGTTTGTCCAGAGACTTCGCTTCTTCGACAAATGTAGCAAAACATAGATGCAAGAAACGCTATCGAAGTGAGCACAACGCAGAAGACTAGTATAACAAGAACGAGTTTCCTCGATAGAGATTGCTTCTTTGAAGATTTGGTCTCGCTTATAGGTCCTGGAAACAAATAAACAGACAAAAGATATGATCATGATATAATCGTCAGAGCTTTGCCATAAAACGATGGATAGAGAGTAAAGTACCTGCAGAGCAGTTGCAAGCAGTGAAGCATGAGGAATTCGAACCGGCGATGGCTATAATCGGAAATCCATTTGTAGGACACAAGCATACCCATTGGTCTCTATCTGCTAACGTAAGAGAGAGTCTTAAAGTTTGGTTTTTCTTGTAGAATCTTGAAAGTTTCCTATGTGGTAATGAGAAAACTAACCTGGACTGCAATTACATGATGTGGTACAGTTAGACTCCAGGATAACACTTTGACTCCTCGAAGAGAAGCATGTGCAAGTCCAGTTGCTTGCGCCTAAAAACAGAAACTTCATTTTTATAATTGAAATTCACATATGTTGCTGAGTTTATCTCTGTATAAACTAAGATACTAACCTCCATAACATTGCTGAATTGATATGAGCACCAAGAGAATCACAAGTGCGGTTTTCACTTTCATCTTCATTTATATTTGCTGCAGAAAGAGGAAACAATTTAGTTCCTTGATAGGAACTCTAATATGTGTCGCCAACAAGACGAGTGAGTGGAGATTAGATGAAGACCTTCTTCATGTTGGATTTATTCTTCTACTCAAAGTAAACTCAACTCCAAAGTAGACAACAATCCACAAGAAGGTAATATAATACCAACCTGAAACAAATGACATTAGATTTACAGAATGTTGATTGCAAAAAGAGATGAATTTTATAGAAAATTACGGTAAATCTACAGTGTAATGGAGTTGGTGAACAGACTTGCAAAAGATTCTAACTCTGTTGCAACCACTGAGAACAAAGTTTCCAAGACAATCCAATAAAAGAAACATTCTATTAAAAGACTACAGTTCTTATAAAGCTAGAAGATGATACAAATAACCCCAATCAATAAAAAGTAGTAAAACTCAGTCACATCAATCATTTAAGATCCATTGCCACATATCTAAATTCTGCAAAGTTTCTACTTCCATCTAAAGTTATGATTTTTGATCAAGACACAACAACAGAAGAACCGACACCAATTCTCTTGAGTAAGTTCTAATGAGAGATTTCATCAAATTTGCTAACAGACCAAAACTAAACAAAACAGAACAAGAGAGCCAATATGGGATACATTACCCTGTGCAAACTGCAAAGTGATGAACTTGGAGTAAGAACAAGGTTTCTTTAGTGAATTGTAGTGTCAATAAAAAGGAAGTTGCAGACAAATGATATATAAGAAAGAAGAAGAGCATCTTGAGGGATATGGATTAGTAAAATATTATCATCATATATAATAATGTGATTAAAGAAGTGATTGATTAGTAATAGTCAAAAATGGAGAATGCACACAATACAAAATAATTAATTGGAATGAAAACAGACCAACCACCTTTAGAAAGAAACGGAATTGCAAATCTGAGAGTGACCCTTCAACCATTATAGTATCAATGGTTGAATCATTGAAAATTAAAACCCATTTTATATCAAAAGAGACCACTTTTAACTTTAAACTGTTTAACTATATTATAATCAAAATCTCTTAAAACTTTCCCAAAAGTTCATAAATGATCTTAGATTGTGAATCCAACAAGAACCGTATGCTAATATGTAACAAAGCTTCGAGACAATGTAAGAAACAGGATATCAAATCAAATCTAAAATCCGAGATTTAGGGTTTGGACAAACCAAAATTAGATATATCCAAAAAGAGAGATGACGAAAGGGCTTTGCTTTTAAGGAAAAGCAAAACGTTGATCGAAGCAAATTGTCCGGACCCCACGAATTTCCGGTGTCGGTTGTCGGTAAACCGGTCTTTAAACCGGGGTTCTCGATGTGGGTCCCGTTTCCGCCATTGACCTAATCCAAGCTCTTTAATGGAGCAAATTCAAGGAATGCTTAAAAGGAAAAGTAAGGTTTTTGATGGAAAATAACAGAAACCCATTTCGTGATTTTTCGATTCATGAAGAGAAAACAGCGAAATGATGTTTTTGTTTTACTAACTCGTTACGTCACGTTTTGAAAGTTTAATGCGAGAACAAAAAAAGAAACTCGGAACCTTAAAATGGAGAATCGTCTGGGGAAGAAATTATCTTTAGCGTAGCCCAGAAGCAACAATGTTTGATTTTAGAGGATTTTAAGCTTTCTGTCAAGTCCCAGCTATCTGGGGCTTTTAGAAGAACAGAGACGATGATTCAAAGCTAAAACGCAAACGCGGAATAAAGCAAGATCGCGTTAGAATTTGAGCTTACAGTAAAGATAAAAAGCTCTTTCTTCCTCGAAGAGAGTGAAGTAGAATCTGTAAAATCCCTTTTCCCGGTTCAGAATTGATAAACCGAAACGCGAATTAACAGAGAAGTCCACGCGACAACATTTGCGTTTGTGGTTGAGGTGTGACTAAACACTGAACTGATACTTCGAGGGGTTTTTTAAAAACTAGTTCATATATGAGATTTGGGGGATGTCACGTGCCACGTGGCGCTAAATTGATATCAGCTTTGTCATTGGAATCCGTTTCATACATTATAAATAGTTAATGTAGCAGAGAGTGCATGATGCGGCCAGATCCTGGATGAAAAAGTATTTTGAAAATTCATTCTAGTCTACGGAATGGTCATTAAAACAAATTTTAATTTAACTGAAAATTTATAGTGTGAAGATTTCTTTTCTTTTTAAGTTAACCGTATATTCTTTTGTCAAACAAAAAAAAGTTAACACTAGATTTTAACCAATGTCTTGCGTTAGTCCTGGACATCCGATCCGGACCTGGTGGACTCGAACCGATCTGATCTAAAAAATTAGGTTTGCTTCGGTTTCAGTTCTTATCAAATAATCGATTGAATTTTCATTAATTTTAGTTCGGATTTCGATTCGGTTCGGATAAAACCTGAGAACCGATTAGTTACCCGATTAACCCGACTCAAACCATATTTTAATTTTTCTTAATCTAATTAAAAAAAAAACCTAAATGCCGCCTCCATTTCAACCCTCTGTCTTTTTCTTCGATTATCCATCTTTCATCTTTTCCTTTTTTTATTCTCTATCTTCCTTTCTTTTCATCCTCTTTCTTTCTATTTTCTTTTTCTTTTCCTCCCCAAAACTCGAATTAGCCTAAAAAAGGACCAAATCCAGGTGAAGAAAATGAGCGGTAAAGAAAAGCTCTCCGCCTACTTCTCCTCCAACTCCACTGCTATTTTGCCGCTTATCTTCACGGCAAGATACCACCGATTTACACAGCGAATGACGAAGAAGAGATCTTCATCATGAATCAGCATCTCTATCTTAGATCCAACTTTCGGGTTAATCGGGTAATCCGGGTCCAAAACCCTAAATCTGGATCTAACTAAGAAAATACCGGGTCTTATTCGGTTCTTTATATTTTTTTAAAACCCGACCCGACCCGAATTTCTACCGGGTCCTAACCTCTCCTACCCGAATTACCCCGAACCCCGAAAGAACCAACCCGACCCGAATGCCCAGGACTATCTTGCACAGTGAAAAAAAAAACTTTTGATATTTTTTTAGTATTCACATGGTAGATATTAGGATTCATTTTACCGGGTCTAAAGAGAACCTGACACATGAACCTAGACTGCGTTAGATGCTGACACACGCCACGCTAGATGCTGACACACATCATGCCAGTTCGGTCGATCCACTCCCACGTACTGTTTTGGAGCAGTTGACGAACTTCCCCAAACACGCTAGAATCATTACCTTCACCTGTCTCCCTGGCACGCCGAATAGAAAAGACAGGACGAGGGGATCAAAATCTCGGATGACCTTCCGTACAAGGTTGAACTGCTCAAATAACCCTTCTATATTATAATTTCATTTTAATTTTTTTAATAGATTAAAATAACGAAATTACTATATTGTCATTCTCCAAATCCTCCAAATCCACGACACTTTCCCCTTTCCCTTTCGATCCATTCAAACATCCTTCAAACCCTAATTCAATTTTCCCTTCCTCCAAAGGACCTCCAAATCGATGATCCCATTCAAACATCCTTCAAATCCTGATTTTCCGATCTCATGGCGCCTCGTACGAGAGGAGGAAGGGGAGTTTGGTTAAGAACGCCCACGCCCTCGCCAGATCCTCCACCGCCTTCGAGTTCAAAAGCGCCGGCAAAGAGGAAGCGTCATGCGGGAAGGGGAGGAAAAGCGCAGAGATCGCGGAAGAAATCGAAGCCTGGAACTTCCAGTGTTCTGCCTCCGCCTCTATCTCCGACTCCGGTGGCTCGGATGGATGTCCGACAAGAAGAAAGCATTGGCGAGAGCCCTCCCCCTTGTCGTATGGCTCTGACGGTGCAACCGGCAACCAGCCCGCCTCTGATTTCAGAACCGGCAACCGGTCCTTCCCCATCGCAACTGCCTTCACCGTCGAAACCGGCTTCACCGTCGCAACCTTCACTGTCGCAACCAGCACAAGTGAATCCTAAATTTTATGGAACCATGGCTAGTATAACTAGGTCCAACTAGTCCGACTAGTATGAAATGTTCAACTAGTTCAAGTAGTCCGACTAGTATGTGTAGTTCAACTAGTTCAACTAGAACGGTTAGTATAACTAGTATAATTAGTTCAACTAGTCTAAGTAGAACGGTTAGTATAACTAGTGTAATTAGTTCAGTAGAACGGTTAGTATAACTAATGTAATTAGTTTAACTAGTCTAAGTTGTTTCAATTAGTTCAACTAGTCTAAGTAATCCATGTAGTCTAACTAGTTCAACTTTTTCTTTCAGGATTATGATGAGGAACCTATGCGACCACTCGGTTATTTCTTAAAACGTTGGAGTATAGAAAGGGATGCAAGATGGCATCAAGGTGCCCTCAACATAAATTTGTGGAAATCGTAAAAGGTTTTAAAGACAGGGAGAAGGACTGGTTTGTCCATCACCCTCAGTTCAGGCACATCTTCCATATGGTTAGCTACAAGACGAGGAAGGTTATAGGATTGTGGATGCTACTTCTCCGCACTGCCAAAACAGAGAAACGGAAACAAGCATGGTTTGTGGTGAATGGTGTGCCCATTCGGTACTCCATCCAGGAACATACCCTCCTCTCGGGGTTAGACTGCCACCTCTACCCATATGGTCATGAGAAGTTGGGGAGCATGAACTTTGTGGCCGATTACTTTGGGGAAAGGAAGGAAAAAATATCTGTTGAAGAAGTGTTGGATAAGCTGACTGAAATGGAGTATGATGGCAGTGATGATCGCCTGAAGATGGTGTTGTTGTACTTCCTAGCCACTGTGCTAAAAGGAAGGTCAAAGGTTGGATCCCCGATAGAGCCATTCCTCCTGAGAGTTGTCGATGGCCTGCATGTGTGTGAAACATTCCCGTGGGGTTGTTTCACATTTGAGGACAACATGAAGGAGATATTCCATGTGGACAACCATTTCAGAGGGAAGCTTTCAGAGAAACCAAGTTGGACATTTTCAGGGTTCATCAACCCTTTGGAGGTAACTGTTATTTGATTTTTCAAATTAAG